TTCCAGTTTCTGGCTATTGTAAAGAGTGCTGCAATGAACAAACAAGTGCAGATGTCACTTCGACTATACATTTTTGCCTCTCTGGAATATTTTCCCAGGAGTGGTATTGCTGGGTCAAATGGGAACTCAATTTCTAATTTTTTGAGAATCGTCCATACTGTTTTCCAGAAGGGCTGAACCAGTGGACATTCCCACCAACAGTGAAGGAGTGTCCCTTTCTCGCCACATCCGCGCCAGCACTGGTTGCTTTTGTTCTTTTGAATGTGGGCCAGTACTCAGAGGAATTCTTAGATCTACATTTTACAAAGACAAACTGGAAAAGCAAAAAAAAATATCTATTTTTGAGAAGTGGATTAAATCTTATACCTTGTCACCTGGCTCTCTATGTTTAAATTAGTTGATTTGGTTCATATTCAATATTGGAAAATGTTTTCTCTTCTCTTCTGTATGCCTGTTTTCTTTTAATTCAGTAAAGTTCTGACTTTAATTGGTTCCACTGGATTGCAGTAATTGTCCACTCAATTTTACTCTCTATCCTCTCAGAATCTACGAAATCTTAAAGAGCACTGTACAAACCACTTCATACATTGTATCCCTCTATAGGGAATGTCAACTAAATCTTAGCAGCAGCAAAAATTGAGTATTTCTTTCCAAATTCATCACAGATGTTTATCTTTTATGAAGAAAAATTGCTAATTGCTTGAGAAAGATTTTTACAGTATCTTGTTTATTTTTGAATTAGCCTATTTCTTATTTTGAAACTTACTGAGATTCCTATCAAAAATCTCCAAAATGGTCAAATAATTCCAAGGCTATATATTCTATCAAAAATTGTTCTAATTAGTATATCATTCCAACTAGTATAACTTTCCTCCCCCACATCAAATAAATAAAAAACATTTTTTACTGCCTTTGGCTGAAAAAAAATTACCCTTACCCTCTTTGTCCCTTATTTTAGGGGTATCTAAAATGTGTTCTTTCTGTGTAAAACCAACTACTTTCCAGAAATACACTAAATTATTCCATTTTAGTTTCACTCAGCACCACCAGTGAAAATATGTAAGCTACCAATTAAAAAAAATTGCCACAGTGCGTGTTTTTTGTCTGAAGTACTTATTTATTTATGATATTCAGGGTTTTACCTTCCTCTAAAGCAGAGCTTAACAACAGGGATTTTCCCAAACTGATCATTTCCTTTCTTTTATCTTTGCCTTTGTAAGAGAGAGTCTCTCTGTCTGGAATGTGCTTCCCTCTTTTCACTGTCATTTATATAAATATCTACTCTTCCTTCAACACTGTTCAGACTTCATGTTTGGAATGCTCTCTCTAAACATCTTTCTATACACACACACACACACACACACACACACATTTTCTCCCTTTCTGACCCTCCATCCTCCAAAGTAACACAGATGAGTTCATTGAGTTAAAAGGATTTGTTTGTACACTCTCTTGTTATTGTGAGACTCTAGAAATGAGGATATATCACTTATTCACTTTTAAATGCTATGCCTTAACATTTAACTGCCAAATTACAACATTTTAGTCTACTTGTAAATAAGTTATTATTTGCATAGAACATAATGACTTAGTTAAAAGTCTTTTAAAATCCCAAATAAATATGCATTTAAAAATGAGTCATTATTTGAAAGAATTAACATGAATTAATATGCTGATTTTAAGTATTTTTTATATTTTTGTTTATATTTATTGTTGTAACACACCTGGCTATGTTCAGGGCTTACCCCTAACTGTGCTCAGAAATAATTAATTCCTAGGGTTTGGGGGTGGGTGTTCTGGGACTATAAAGGGTGTTGAAAATTAAAACAAAGTCAGCCACATGCAAGGCAAGCACCTTACCCACTATACTATGTCTATGGCCCCTGTCTTTTTGTTTTAACTTTTAATGATACCTTAACATTTTTTAAAATTTAAAATTTAAGTAATTTTGTCAATAAACTTAAAATCAATAAACTTAAAAATTCTTAATTAAAATAAGAAAAAAACACAGTGAGAAAAATCTTAATTTATTTGTCATTTTGATTATAAAATATCTTAGAACCAGAAACCTGAGTAAAACAAGGTTTTAACTAAAACATAAATTGAAAGTTGAATTTTGAAGTTCTTTTTATAAAAGCAAACAGGTCTCAATGAGCAATTTTTGAAGCAGAAAGGACATTTGAAGTAAACAGAATGAAGTGCCAAACACCTTTATTATGATTATTTTGGAAGATGACTCAGGAGAGTTTTCAGCAAGCAGGATCAAATGTACCTTACCAGTTTATGAAATATCTAGAATGAGGCAAATTGCATTTTGTAGTTTTTCCTTTCGCTTATTTTAAACTGAGCCAAGATATTTTCTATTTGGAAAACAAAATAAAAATTAGATGATAATCAATTTATAAAATTATTCACCTATATGTAACATTTCATTGAGTTTATTACTTTACTCCCTATTTTTGTGAGAGCCACAGAGATTTAATTTTCTGTTAAGATGATTAAAATGGTTTTTACCAAGAATGTGCCTGAATGCTTGGAAGAGAGGAAGTATGGTTTATGAGTTCCAAAATAGCAATATTTGAAAACATGTGCATGAAAGAACTTTTGTAAGCATTCTTGGAATGATTTTTTCCTATCTACCCACCACCCACCACCAACACACACACACCCCAACTTTAAAAAAAGGATTTGGGTGGAGTTAAGAACTCTTTTCAATTCTTAAACAATAACTGGAAATCCTGAAAATGTATTCTTTATCCAATGGGGAAAACACTTTAAAGCCCCCTTTCCCCCTAAGAATTGTTTAGCAAGGAATTTATTAAGTGGTTTCTATTTTGAACAAAAACCAGTTATAAATGCCTAAAATATAATGCTATCTGGCAATGTCCCCAACAAATTCATTTTTTCAAATGAAACAAGCACAAGCCCTAATAACTCAGATAAATATATTTCTTTTATGGTAATCTAAGTGGTAGATTAGAGACTTAGAAAATGTACCACAAAATTGTGAATCTAATTGCAAATAAATATAAAGTACACATATATAATATTTATGGTTAGAAATATAAAGTATGTATATACATGTAAAATATGTATATATATTTTTCAACAAAGTTGCAAAAATCTAGATGCAAATATAAAGTTTTTTGTATATATGTATATATATACACACACACATATATAATATTTAAGCATTTTGATTAGGAGATAATCATATGTTCTATATAGATTTACCATGATGGAAAGAAGTTGGTGTTGATAAATAAAGGAAGATTATACACCATCCTGAAATTAGTGGAAAGAGATATGTCAAAAAAAATCAGGTAACATAAACATTCTGACCCTGTCTCTCAAATCTACATTACCAGCTGGGCTCACTTATGCATTTACCTGAAACAGCAGCAGTCTACATGTATAGATAATTCAAAAACACTATCCAAACACTGTCCTGTTGTTCACTGATTTGCTAGAGCAGGGCAGTAACGTGTCCATTTTGAGACTTGTTGTTACTGTGTTAGGCATATTGAATACGTCACAGGTAGCTTGCCAGGCTTTGCCATGCAGGCGAGATACTCTCGGTAGCTTGCCTGGCTCTCGGAGAGAGGCGGAGGAATCAAACCCGACTTGGCCAGGCTGGCTGCACACAAGGTAAACACTATTGCTGTGCTATCGCTCCAAAAATTGAATTTGGAAATAATTATGTATTAAAAAATGTAATATAAATGAATGTGAATATTCAATATATATTTATATTTGAGGTATTCTGAGCTGATTAATTCCGCTATCTATAAATTTGACCACTCGTAATACAAAAAGGGGACTTCTATCCAATGTATGTCCTGAAAATAAAAAATCCAAACATTGTATTTTGAGTTTATTTGCCTTTCAAGGTATACGGAAATTCCATTCATCAGACTTTTTTACATCCTGGCATTTACAGAGCCATATATCTTGAATGGTATGCTAAAGTATTGTTCTTACTCAGAGACACATGACCTCTAATATCAACCCTCTGCTAGGTTTTCTATTCTCAGGAAAGTGAGGATGAGTTATAAACCAACTCAATGCAGACATCTAAAAATAGCCAGATACCCATCACTTAGTACCCAATTTTTTTTCTGGTTGCACCTAAGCATTCAAAGGACACGAACTGAAGTACAGCATAACAACTTTCAAATCACTTTGAGGCGCACTAGAAAATCAAAACAACTAAGGATGAAGATCAGACTCCAGTTACTCTCTGAAAGTCATTGGAAATTCAGAAAATTCTCAAGTGTCTAACTTACGTTTTACTTCACAACTTAAAGGTTTGTATAGAGAAAATTAGAGGTTTCCACTGTTAAAAATACAGTTCCTGTTTCTCCATTTCCCCTTTCCCCAGAAATAACTCTAGAATAAATTCTTAATGTACTATGCAGAAACACATAACACATCCTATATAACTGCTTCATTGATTTTAGTAGCTGGTTATCATTTTACATAATGACCATCCTCTCTTAAACTCTTGTTTTCAGACATTGCTTTAGACACATGATGTAGAAAATTTCACATTTTTACTTTTAGTCCTAAATCTCTTTTCTTTGCTATTTACTGGGTGAGTTAAACAAATAAAGTCATGGAAAAATAAACTGACCACAAGTAAAGGATCAATTCCATCTTACAAATATATCTACAAAACAGACACAGAAACAGCATTTGAATCATTAGGAATTATCAATATATGAACTGGTCTGAAACCATAATTATATCCCTTATTATTATTATTACAAAGAATATCAAGCTACAAAGCAACACTTCTTAACTCTCTTCCAATAAAGGCAATTTATGCTAATTTGTATATTTTGTCAAGCAATGGAACAAATTAAATCACACAAGTGCTGAATATCTCATTGATGACCAGTATTGAAATGTTTTGCCATCTGCTTAAAAACTCATACTTTTGATACAATAGTTGGTCATGGAAATGAGCATCAATATTGACCAAGTTACCCACTACTCACGAGAGGATATTTCCAATGTAGGCATAGTAGGAGCAACAGTAGGGCGTGGTTCCATCACAGCAGTAGGATCTGCAGTCTTTGCCACACTGAGCAAAGCAATCATCTATGAAATAAAAACCACATATGTAAACTTATAACTCTGAGATCATAGTTTCAAGGGGGGAAAAGGTTCAATTTCGTATCTTAGTAGGTTAGTGTTCATTCTTGAGAGCAGTTAGATTTTATTTTATATATTTAGCATTCTACAATGGTTTTAAGCACCTAGTTTTCCTTCTTTGTCAGATATAAAGGGGGAGGAAAGGCAGAGACCATTGCTTGAATCTCTTGCATCAAACATAACTGGTAAAATTCCTTGAATGAAACAGTGAAAGCAAGAAGAAATGACAGAAGGAAGAAAAAAGGGTAGAAGGAAGAAAGGGTAAAAAGAATGATACAACTTGTCGGTCATTCAACTTGTTAATACAATTCTCATAACAATCTCTGACAGATAAAATCTCTTGATAATTATTGTTACTCCCAATCATTTTTATTAGAATTATTGACATGAATAATATTAAATAAAAATCATCTTCAAAATAGCACTTAATGCTTTTCTTTAGCATTTTTTGTTTTGTATCTTTGTATTCTATTTATTATTATTTTCTTTTTCAACTATTTTTTATTAATGCACCGTGATTTACAAAATTATTCATAGTTGAGCTTTAGACATACAATATTATAGCACTGATCCTACCGCCATAGTCAACTTCCCTGCACCAGAGCTCCAGGTTCCCTCCTGTACCTCCTATCCGTCCCTCCAGCCTGTCCTCTTGACAAGCACCTTTCTAAATTTAGTTGTTAAAGTCTCTTGATTTCAGTGTTGTTGACTCGGTGGTTTGGGTATTCCACTCTACTATTTCTTAACACCACCTTTATACCTGAGTCCCCCTGACCAGGCCCCATCGCTTTTCATCTGTTTCTTCTCTCCCGCCCCTCCATTATTTCTTCCCTTATTTTCACTATATTCTAAGGCCGAGATTGATCAGGGCATCCCCACTTTATAACACTGCATTCCCTCATCCAGTTATTCTAAATACCACCTAAGAGTGATATCATCCTGCATTTATCCTTCTTCTGGCTAACTTCATTTAACATGATGTCTAAACAGATGGGGACAGAAAATGAGCTTGCAGAGCCTATAAATAAACAAAACAGTATCTGTAGATAACTATCTTTTGAGTAATTAATTTATTTTATGTCAGATTTAAGGAACAATAAGCTATGGAATAGCACTGAATGTGGGGGGCAAAGTATTTTCTTATTAAAAAGAAAATCATTATAATGACAAAATCAAACTACTGTCTTTTACTATCCATGATTTTAGGGATATAAAAATTGTACCCTAATGTTAAGTAAAAATTTCTCTACCTTTAAAAAATTATTTACTCTGGCTAAACAATTGATATTTAAGAAATTACTTAAAAATTCTTTGGAAAGTAGAGAAATAGCTCAGGTACTTTCCTTGCAAGTTGCTGACCTGGATTAGGTTTTGAGCATCACGGATTCCTGGCACTGCCAGGAGTGATACCTGAGTACAGAATCTAGAATAAACCCTAAGCAATGCAAGGTAAGAACCCAAGAAATGAATTTAAAAAAACTGGAGGGTTAGATAGAGTACAGGGGTTGAGGTACATGTCTTGCATAGAAGGCTCCAATCAAAACCAAAAGAAAACGCATTTTGATAGTCAGTGATATAAATTATAAATGTATATGTAAGTTTCAAACACATTAGAAAAATAATTTGTCTGACAATTTAAGTTACATGTTCAAGATACAAAAATATGTTGCCATTTGTAACTAAGCCTTTAAAGACAATATTAACTACTAACCAAAGTGTATGACTTAAATTTTCTTACCCAAATTGTAAATTGTAAGTTATTATATTTATGTCTACATGTCATTGATTTGTCTCAAAAGAAAAACTTAGGTTGTGTTTTTACATCATCCCTTTGCCAAGATGATTCTTTGAAGTAGAGGTGATCAAACATGTAGTTTAATTCATTCACCTTTTTCAATAATATATAACATTTGTGGGACAAATAAAAACTTTCAGGTTTGTCTTCGATTCTATTTGAATTCTAATTCAAATTAACACACCCTGATGTTTTCCTCTAAAGGGTGGTACAAGGTGAAGAAACCTGACTGGCGGGCTGAACAACACCCAGAGAATTCTCCGGGCCCCCTACCAAGCCAATATCGCTGGGAGGTTCCAAATGGGGCAGGTGCTGTCTCCCAGCCTTCTCCAGATGGAATCCCGGAGACCATGAGCTTCTACAAGCATGGCTCTGGTATGTGGGCACCAGGACTATTCTTCCGGCCATGGGACCATGCAACCTTTCCTTATGTGCAAAGTGAGTAATAGAAGGTAAATTATCTAGCGTCTGCCCCTGGAAGGCAGGCTTGACTGGTGGTGGGAAAATTCGAGCAAAATATAAAGCCCAACCAAAATGCATCTGGACTGTGCATTAAACTAAGGCGCCATGCCACCCCGGGATGAGAAGGTGTTTTTCCCTCTGCCTTTTCCCCCTGGCGGTGGTGAGGACACAGTGGCCGCTACCTTTCAGAGCCTAATGGACAGTCAGGTATGAGACTGCAGTGACGAGGCACGTGGGGCCTCATGGGATGGGGGGTGGAACCAGCCCTGCTCCTCGCCCTGACAAGGCCCCGAGTTGCCACCCAGAAATGTCTCCTCCAGCTACTGAATGACCATGATCCCAGAGGAGCACAAACCAATCTCAGAACCCAGGGGCTTTTGCAGTAATCCCTCCAGACTTCTTACTAGAATATCAGAAATCCAAAATCACATGTCCACAATAGTGGCCGCACAACATCATATGTTCTTCATAATCAGCAATAGAAAACAAATTATCTAATGATGTCTTTTTGGCAGCTCTGATTGTTGGGGAAAATTCCAAATAATAATGATGGATCTTTCGTTGTAATATTGAATGTGATCAACATAGAGAGAAAGTAAAGTGGAAATCTGTCACACCGGCAGGGGGAGGGTTGGGAGGGAAGTATACTGGGGTCCTTGGTGGTAGAAAATGTGCACTGGTGAAGGGATGGGTGTTTGATCATTGTATGACTGAATGAGACTTAAACTGAAAGACTTTTTCACTGTTCTCAAGGTGATTCAATAAATTAAAAATTTAAAAAAAAATAATAAAGGGTGGTAAAAATAAGTGAGAGGAGAAAACAATTACCCTTTCAAGATTCAACAACTCTACTTAAATCCATAAGCATAATCAATTATTTATTGACAATTCATGTTTTTGAAAAATACATCACACATTTTAAAAGTTTTTATGTATTTTTTTCCAGTGACTTTCTCTAGCTCTCACTTTTAGTGCTGATTAATCACTTCAATTCATCAAACTGGCTAGTTTTCTGAAGAACTTAGCAGGAATGTTTGCTTCATGCTCTTAAAAGCCACTGAGATAATGGGAAAGATGATTACTTATTCCACTGAAGCTGGACAACAAATGAGTAGCTTTATGGAGTACCATTTTATAAAACCAAGGACAGTTTCAATTTATTAAATCCCCATGAATATCCAAGATTCAATTACTCTATTCTGATTACTCCATTATTAGAATACAGTGTTATCAAGATATTTAGAGCCAATATTATAGGAAACTCATCCCCAATACTTATGGTCAAGAGGTTAGATGCAGCAATTAGATCATGTCATATATGGTTCATTAACTTTGTGGCACTCTCGAGTGTTGTCTACTTCCACAAATTAAATGAAAGATTTACTAGTGCAGCACATATATTCATGATCACAACATTTCAAACTGAGGTATCAACCCCACTTCAAAACTCATCTGTGGGCCGGAGTGACAGTACAGTGGGTAGGTCATTTGCCTTGCACGTGGCCGACTCAGGTTCAATCCCCGGCATCCATATGGTCGCCCAAGCAACGCCAGGAGTAATTCCTGAGTGCAAATCCAGGAGTAACCCCTGAGAATCACTAGGTGTCTCACACACACACACACACACACACACACACACACACACACACACACACACTTATCTGGACATGTCAGTTGTCTTTCTATGTTTGAGACTAATCCCATGAAGATCACATTTTGGACACAGAGGAGCACATTTTTTTTTGTAAAAGAGTGGACCATTCTAATTGCTATGAAAAATACATTATAGAGCCTGTAGAGTTAGAAGCGATGTTAAGGCACTTGCCTTGTTAATGGTCAACATAAATATTCCCAGCACTGCAATGGAACGATGAGCACTGCCAGGAGTGATCCCTAAGCACAGAGTCAGGAGTAAACTTGGAACACTGCCAGGTGTTTCCCCCCAAACCAACAACCTCCCCAAAATGGATAAGTGATGCAATATTTACTGTTTAAGTCAGTACTCCTAAAACTGAACCAGTTCAAACATTCTTCAAACATGTCTTTAATTATAAGAATATGGACTATCTTCCACCCCATATTCCATCTTAAGGAATGTGCAGCAGAGGAAAAGCAAGATCTGGTTGCAAGCACTTGCCCTGCTACAACTATAGATAAAAGAGGAAGGAAAAGGAGGGGGCAGAAGTCACCAGCTATAGTCCGGAAGGCAGAACCTTGATCAAATCCTGCCTTTGTAATGGAGTGGGTATTAATATAAACATTGCATTTAGTCTTTTTCCAAATGGGACTCCACAATATCATATGATGCTTCAAGTATAGAAATCTTGCTCTTATTTCCTTAACAAATGAAAGTGAATTTAATGCATTTGTTCGTGGCTGGGAAACTGGGAGAAATGCATGTAATGAACAGTGCCTTGATTTAGATTTTTGTCCCATTAAAGCAGGTAATTCACTTAATGGGTATCCAAACTATTTTTAAATCTTTCCCTCATCTACCCTCAATTTTCATTTCCAGTCGAATCTCTTAATTTCAACCAAACTCATTTCTAGTTCTGCATATATACATGTCATGATTTTCACTTTCATTCACAAATATCCTGCTCTACCTTCTTATGCCTACATTTTCTCTATTCTAGTTCCTAATAGTCTTCCTCAATACACTTATTTAATTTTACTTTTTTTTTTCCTGAGCTGTTCTGATGGGGCAGAAGTTTAGATAGTTTCTGGAAACACTGGATTGAGCAAAACAAACATCCTTTTGTACCCATGACCCAGTGAGGAGACATCCTTTGAAAACCTACAGCATGTGATTATATAAATGAGATACAATTTTACATACATTTTGTTCTGGGCATACCTTTGTCTCCCAGACAGTATTCAAAGCATAGACTTAGCATAGTCTTTAAAACTTCTAACCCAAATAATATCTGGCAATTGAGGGTATAGGACAAGCACAAAAAGGTCCAGAAGTGGAGAGTTTTAAGGAATTAACATCAAAGAACAAGTTACTTAAACAATTCTTCTCAGAGACAATAAACTAGTCAGATCTTAGCTAATGATTATTTTTCCTGCTTACTAGAGAGGGATATGGAGAGAGAAGGAATGAAGGAAAAAACTTTTTAAAATAAGGAGTCGAGATGCTGGTCGGCTTTGCTTGGTTTCCTGACTCTTGGGGGAAAGTATGGTGGGGGTAGGGGTGAAGGAAAGAAAAAGGTGCAAATTAGATGCTTACATTTGACCCTAGAGAATAAAAGCTGGGGGAGAAGAAAAAAAAAGCAAAACAAAGCAAAACAAAGCAGAAGCGCGTGCAAGTCCAGCCCCTTACCCTTCCCCGCGCGCGCTTGGGCTCCCGCCGGCCCCGCCGGGCCCCCGCGATCTGCGCGTCCCCCTGAAGTTCCCGGTGCGTCCCGCCCAACCTACCACCTCCTAGGTCGCAACTGACCTGCATAGACAAAGAGCAGGACCAACTTGGACAGCAAGATCCCTGGACACCCGGGCAGCCCGCGCGCGTCCATCCAAACCGCTGAGCCAACGGGGCTCGCCGGGACGCACGGACAGATGGGCCGACGGGAGGGACCGGCGGCGAGGGATGCGCGATCGCGGAATCCGGGGAGGGCTGGGGGGCGATCAGAGGGCCGGAGCCGAGCGCCCAAGAGCGGAGTGACACCGGTTGCTGCCCATGCATGGCCCGGGGAACCTGGCTGGGGACGCGGGGCCGGCTGGCGCCGGGCTGCGCCGGGGGCGAGGTCTCTTTGTCTCTCCCCAAGGCACTTCGGGGGCGGGCCCGGCAGCCGCACGGCGTCCTCGGCCACCCGGGCTCACATTTCATCTCCGTCGGTGGCACCGACGCGGGACTGCGGGGGCGGCGGGGGTGGCCCGACTCCTCCCCACGCCTCCCCTCTGCCTGCCGTCCACTCACTTGCGGCGCCGACACGCCGCGGTTGGAGCTTTTTGCTGACCCTTGACTTTGGTATTTGCGGCAGGGTTTAGGGGCGACCCCTCTAGACCTACACGCTGCTAGCCAAAGTTGTGTGGTGTGTGTGTGTGTGTGTGTGTGTGTGTGTGTGTGTGTGTGTGTGTGTGATGCAATGACTGAAGAACTTTTGCTTTATCATCTTCAAACAAGTAGGGGAAACTTCCACGGTGAAAAGTTGTGTGTGTGTGTGTGTGTGTGTGTGTGTGTGTGTGTGTGATGTAATAAATGAAGAACTTTTTGCTTTTTCATCTTCGAACACGTGGGGGGAAACTTCCAAGGGGGAAGGTATCCGGACAAAGATGCACGAAAATCCCAGGTTCTGGGAAACGCTGAAATCCCAGGGTAAAGCTAAAGAGTGGATGGTAGAGCTGCAGCCAAGGGAAAGGTGATGAACTGTTTGCTCTATGTTCTAAAGCAGGTTCGTGTGAAATCAGGGCAAACAAGAAAACTCAGCAAAGGCGGTCAGTGATCTCTATTATTTGACACCGTTCTGGAGCCTGAAGCGACAGGCTGATGCAATTCGAGGAGGAAAAATTAGATGATGCAAAACAAAACAAAACAAAACACAAACAACTGGAGGGAAAAATATCACCAATTGCAGATGCTTTGCTCTTCTAAGCAAGCAACCAAAGAGAATCACCTTTAAAGTTCTATTCCTTTAAAGATAAATTGTTTTTTGTTTTTAGATAGATTCCCGGACCTCATATAAGCTAGGCAAGCAGCAGCCTCTGCCCTCAGCAAGAATGATCTTAACTAGAATTAACTGGTGAGACATCAAGTTCTTTTTCATGCAAATGAAAACTAGAATGTTTCCTTTTTTCATGTATAGATAAAAGACATCATGAAATAAGACACATCTCTCGATTTAAAAAAAACACAGCATCAAAAATGAAAGGTGTTTTTTATTGACTTCATTAATGCTAGAACTTCACTGAGCCCAGTACAAATGCCAACAATTTGTTATTGCAGTAAGGCAGAGCTGAGGAGAGGAAAGACTTGGGCAGGATTGAGTCACAATCCATGCCCTTCAACATATTTTCTTTTTTTCCCCCAATCCATCTGGTTCAAAGATGTAAATAGAAAGTAAACATAAAGAATCGATTTAAAAATGCAAGTGATTGCAAGAGATAAGACCAGCTAGAATAAATACAGTATTCCAATAATCAAGTTTTGTTTTTTAACTTTATTTAAACACCTTGGTTTGCAAAGTTGTTCATAATGCAGTTACTTCAGGCATTTGGTGTTCCACACCAATCCCACCACCAGTGTTACCGTCCCTCCACCATTGCCCCAGATTCCCATCCCCAACCCGCACCAGCCTTTCCCCTAGGTACAAAATACTTTATTTTTTATTGCTTGTTACAACAAAATGATTAGTAGAATTATCAAATAATAGTTCAGCAAAAGAAAATTTGTGAAAATTGTTATATTTCAGAGTGGTGTCATTAAAATCGTCTGAGGATTTACTGCACTGTGTGCTGTTTATTTCTAGTAGAGCCGTCTGTGTTATTGTTTTTGCTTATTGAGCTTAGTGACTTCTAATCTACTTTCACATTTTATTTGTTGCCCTCCTACTGGGCTGTCAGCATTATGAAATTTAGAGGTGTCAGGCAGCTGCGTGTGTGGCCGAACACTCTAGGAGCCCCATGATCTGTAGAACTTGGCTAATTCTTGATCTACCTGGCTCCCAAGGGGGACCCGGGATTTTTAGCCCCAAGATGAGTGTGGTGGGTAGTTTCATCTGCTTGACTTGGGATCCCTTCTGAGATTAGTTTTGAAACTGGGCCTTTTAGAACTGGTGGCTATAGGATGTGGGTGCTGCTGCTAGGGCTTCCTGTGGTACCTAGTGGGGCTGTGGTGGGAGGCTGCCCTCCCTCCATACCTGATTCTAAGGCAGCAGCTGTAAAAGACCCAGCTTCACTGCATCATGAGTAATCTCCAAAGAGATGCCAAGAGAATCCCATGAAACTCCCAGGTACACAGGTCTCACTCTCTCTTTTTTTTTTTTTTAGTCACTGTGAACAACACTTACAAAGCTTTCATGTTTGAATTTCAGTCATACAATTATCGAACACCCATCCCTCCACCAGTGCACATTTTCCACCACCAATGTCCTCAGTATACACCCCCCCCAAATCCCACCACTCTCCCTGCCTCTATGGCACACAATTTCCCTCTCCTTTTCACTCTACTTTTGGGCATTATGGTTTGCAATACAGATACTGATAGGTTATCATGTTTGGTCCTTTATCTACTTCAGCACACATCCCTCATTCCGATTGATCCCTCCAACCATCATTGACTTAGTGATCCCTTCTCTATTCCAGTTCCCTTCTTCACAGCTCATGAGACAGACTTCCAAGTATGGGGCAATATTCCTAGCCCTTGTGTCTACTATCTTTGGGTATCAGTCTCATATTATGTTATTTTATATTCCACAAATGAGTGCAGTCATTCTTTGTCGGTTCTTCTCTTTTGATTCATTTCACTTAGCATGATATTCTCCATGACCATACACTTATAAGCAAATTTCATGACTTCATCTTTCCTAGTAGTTGCTTAGTATTTCATTGTGTAGATGTACCAAAGTTTCTTTAACCAGTCATCTGTTCTCGGACACTCAGGTTGTTTCCAGATTCTGGCTATTTTGAACAGTGCTACAATGAACATAAAGGTGCAGATGGTATTTCTACTGTGCTTTTTTGCACCCCTGGGAAATATTCCCAGAAGTGACATTGCCGGTCATAAGGGAGCTCAATTTCTAGCTTTTTAAGGAATGCATATATTGTTTTCCAAAAAAGGACAAGTTGGCATTCCCACCAACAATGAAAGATAATCCCTTTATCCCCACATCTATGCCAGCACTAGTTGTTCTTGTTCTGTTTGATTTGTGCCAGTCTCTGTGGGGTGCACAGTTCTTTGGACTGAAAACTTTATGCTTTCTTGAAGTAAGAGCAAGCAGCCTCCTCTCAACCCCTTACCCCCAAGCCCTCAAATCTCCAGCAACCACACCCACATCCCACAGTTGCCGCCATGTGAATGGCCCAGCATCACAGCTTTAAGAGTAATCTCAGAAGATATGCCAAGCCTGTGAAACTCATAGGTACACCGGTCTTTTGGCTGAAAGCTCTGCCCCCCTCTCCGGAGATCAACAGGCTGAGTCCCACCCTACTGAAGCCCCAGCAGCCATTATGAAGCATTGCTATGCTTCTGCTATAGGTAGAAGTGTGATTCTTAATGTTCAGTCAGCATCAGTAGCACTTATCAGTCTGTTAAACAAGATCACTGGATCTATCCCTCAGGGCAGTAGGTTTGGGGTGGCATCCAGCCTTTTAAATAAATAGCCACTAAACACTGATACTACTCCCTCGGTACCACAATGAGAACCACAGGCTCAGAAAAATCTAATTTTAGAGACTCTTACCTCTTCCCACTAAGATTAAGATGGAAATATTTTTTCACTTTTCTGTTTCTAGACGTGTAGCAATTTTAATCTCTCAATATTTCTCATTTTAGCATTCACCTTATTTACCTACTCAAAGCTCTCCAAATAAAAACAATATGGGCATTCCTTCAAAAATTAGAAATTGAGCTTCCATATGATCCTGCAATACCACTCTGGAAATATATCTTGAGGGTGTAAAAAAAAAGCACAGTGGAAATGCCATCTGCACCTCTATGTTCATTGCAGCACTGTTCACAATAGCCAGAATCTGGAAACAAGAGTACAGACAACTGGTTAAAGAAACTTTGGTACATCTAACAATGGAATGCTATGCAGCTGTTAGGAAAGATGAAGTTATGAAATTTGCTTATAAGTGGATGGATGTGGAGAGTATCCTGCTAAATGAAATGAGTCAGAAAGAGGGGGACAGACATAGAAGGACTGCACTCATTTGTGGAATATAAAATAGCATAATCTGAGATTGACACCCAAGGACAGTAGACACAAGGGTCAGGAATATTGCCCCATAGTGGGAAGCCTATATAATGAGCTGGGAGAGAAGGCATCTGGGATAGAGAAGGGATCACTAAGACAATGATGGTTGGAGGAATCATTTGGGATGGGAGATATATGCTGAAAGTAGGTAATGTACCAATGTGATAATCTCTCAGTATCTGTACTGCAAACCATAATGCCCAAAAGTAGAGCAAGAGTATGGGGCAAATTGTCTGCCATAGAGGCAGAGGGAGGGTTAGAAAGAGTGAGGGGTATACTGGGAACATTGGTGGTGAACAATGTGCACTGGTAGAGGGATGGGTGTTTGATCATTGTATGACTGAAACTAAAACATGAAAGCTTTGTAACTGTAGCTCACAGTGATTCAATTTTAAAAAACAAAACTCTCCAAATAATCCCTTACCATCCTAACATTTATGAATCATAAACACATTTTTTTCTATTTCTTCTTTCTTTTGGGGGGTAAGGGAGAGCCACATCCAACAGTACTCAGGGTTTATTCCTGGCTCTATTCTCAGGAATCACTTGTGGGGGGGGCTTCATGGGGTACTAGGGTCACCATGTTCAAGGGAAGTACCCCACCTGCTGTACTATCCATTTTCCAACTAACAAAGATTTGCAGTGAGCATCTTGTTATTAAAAGAAAGATTTAAGTTCATGGGTTTCTTTTACTCCCATACAGTATGATGATAATATTAGATTTTCAAAAGAAACTTGGGACATAGACATGTAATAAACATAAACTTTTAAATATTAATTTAGTTTTAAACATGTATCTCTAGGGAGAAATTTTATTCTTGTAAAACATCCCATGTGGCATAAAACTCTTGGTTCTTTTTTTTAAAATTCTATTGA